TCAAATTAGATGACTGTCTTATACAAGACTTTTTGGCAATCCTTGTAAAGTTTTTGATTTGTGGTTTAGCATTTCAGGTTTGGTGTCTATGCTTAGCACCCACTTCCCATCTTGCAGTATCTTGAATATGACATCTGGTGCCATGTGTTCTCAGGGAAAATCAGCCAATTACACAGTCTTATTTCTTCCATTTTATAAGTCATTTTAGCACAGCATCTATTCATGATTTATGACACATTGGTTGCGAGTCCAGTTATATGGTGGTTCAATCCACTTTTAAGTGATTCTATAAAGCAAAAGACCCTTTAGAATATTATATAAGTTACAAAATTAATTAGAAATTATAGTTGAAATCCCACATGTAATATTTGATAAAAATCATCACAAATTAGCTTTGAGAACAGATCTTTAAATTTGTAACTTTACAAAACACACGTAAACAGGCTATTCCATAGCCGATGCAGTTATTTTGTCAAATAGCATTAGGTATAGCCCTTTATGCATTTTACATATATTGCATTGGACTGACCACAATTAAGAAAAATTCTAACTAAGGTTATCTATCAATATTACCTAAAAAAATAAGTGTTGCTAAAGTACCCAGAGTACAGACTGTAGTAATCTTGAGAATGTAGTGAGGTATATTTGGAGATAGTAACATAAAACTTTAACTGTTTTTCATTAGTACTTACCAAAGAGATACTTAATGCTATACACAAGAATCAAAAGAAATACATAAGCAACACAGATGAAAGCATCATGCTGCTGAAAATATAAGATCAAGCTTCTTACTGAAGTTTAAAAACTATAATAAATGTTGCAGGCAAATAATTTTCTGAAATTGCTCTGAACAGGCTGCTAACACCTGAATACACTAATCCTGAAAAATGCCTTTAAAACAATCATTTCAGAACTCTTCTGTTCATTGTATGTCTCAGCTAAAATATAATTTTATTAAGTCACTTCATTTTAGTGTATTCTGTGTGGAATTAACCAACAGTGTAAAGGCAAGCTTCAGTTGAGAAAAACCATTGACCAACATAAAAATACTATTTGTATATTATTTAAATACAAGCAAAAGTACCCATCCCCAGTGACGTCCAAAGCTACACGAGGACTATCTGCACTACCCATCCCTAATTTAGCAGTGAAAGACTAGAAAGAAGGCAGTTAGTCATCACAACCCACTGCCAACTCTTGGGCTACTCTTTTATCAGCGAATAGTGGGATTGACCGTCATATTAGAATGCACTCACCTCTGAAAGGGCGTGCATGTTTGTGGGACAGGAATTCGAACCCACAACCCTCAGATTGCGAGTCAAGCACCCTAACCAACTGGCCATGCCGGCGCCCACCCCAGTGATGGAAAAGTTTAAGTTAATCTATTAATTTAAATTATTTCATGGACTTTAAAAAGGTTAATTGTGTTTCACGCTTGATTTCACTCAGAGCTAAAGCTCTGAGCTACTTATACTGTCCTCCACGAAAAGTAATTGTTGAACATTTCAGTCGTGCTAAGAGCCATCAACAATAACATACCGCACATCTACATTTTTATTCTTTAAGTTACGTCACATTTTGAAAAGTGAATTATAGTGTAGAATATTCTGCTTGCGAAATAAATTTTAGCATCAACATTATTCATGCTTGTTCTCCCGTCATTTCAAAGTAAATGTTGAGCTTTGCCTGCGCGCTCAGCCTTTCAAACGGGAGACAGACGAACGCTCGGACAGACACCATGGTACGCAACATATATATGACAGCTCATTAGTAATGATAGTATCAGTGCGAACAAGGGAAAAACTGATAAAAATTGGAGCTATTTATGAACATTTGCAAACTTTATACGGCAAGTATTGTCTCAAAATATTCAATACTAGCTGCGACCCGCAAAATATTCGCGGTAAGTTTCATGCCCTTCACTTATTTTATCATTTTCAAACACGCCATTTAACCTATACTTTCTTGCAGGCATTACGTGTTCGATAAATCCTGGTCTATTTGAAAATATTTTACGCGGTCAGACAAACAAACTCACGTAGGCGTAATTTTATTTAATAAAACTATACGTAAAGTAAACAATAAAGTAAAGTAATCGTATTTATAATAGTGTACAGAGTATGAAACAGTTATGAGCGTTCAGTGTATAATACCGTTTTACGGGTTCAAACAAAGAAACTCATAAAAACGAAGAATAAAATCCATACTATAGAAAAAAGTAGCTAAAATCATTGCAAAGTAAATGTAAAATTGTAATGAAGGCAAACTTAGCTGAATATGCAGAAACATCTGAAAGGGTGTTCACAAAGCGATAAGTACATGGTTAAACGAACCATACATGCGCACTTTAAACCTAAATAAGTCGAGAAAACCCACAGAAATTGTATTTAGTGTAATATTCATTTTTTGAAGAAATTAAACGCGAGGTAAGTGTTGTTTGTGTGAAATACTCTGCAAATAAAAACTAAAGTTGAAATCCAAGCCAGCCATCATGTGATGACAACGACATTGTGCTATCGTGTTCCATACTCGTCGCATTGAAAAGTTTGACTAAGCAAAAAATGAACAAGGTGATTCTGAATGGAAAAGCCAATATGCAATCCGGACTATTCGGACAAAGGCCTTTCTGACGATATGAGATTTGTAGCGTTTGATCGAGAAATTAGCAAGAAATGTTCCGGACAGACAAACGCAAGCGTATAAGTTATATAGATAAGATACAAGACCACTATCATGAAGACAGCAATACTGTAATAGAAACTAATACATAGTTCTCAGTTTATATGGTGTTTCGAATTACTTTAACCAGTATGAATTTCAATACTTATTAGCAGCATCCTATTTAATACAAAAGCTTTTGAATATAACCTTATAAAATACGAAGGTTAAATAACGGTATAATTTGTGCAATGACATATTAATTTTTAAGCACCTCAGAAAATCCCTACGATTTATTTTTGATCTGGACAACAGTAAGATTTATAGGTGAACATTAACATGAATGGCTTGCCATCTGGGAGAGTTCAGTGGTAGAGCACTTACCCTGTTAGCCAGAGGTCCTGGGTTTAATTCCCAGTCTTGAAGTCTTTTTCTACTTAAATGTTAATGTTAAATGTTGTCTTTTTCGTATTTCCTATTAAAAGAATAAAAGCTTTTTCATAATATAGAAAAACGATTTGAGAATAATTATTTTCGATTATTGTGGGAGAGAGTTTAAGTAATGGAATGACATACGACATGTGACAGTGCTATTTAAGTTCCCCAACCAAGCAGCTAATACGTTCATCCGGCTTTTACCCATTCCCCTCGTATAACTCCCATAGTCAGTTTATCAAGGCTATTTAAAGTTTTAAAAACTTAAATCAAGGTATCTTTATTTATTCTACAGCACAGTGAAAACAAGTCTTTCAACCTCTCTTCATAATTCAATATTTTAAAATCAGTTATCATTCTAATCTAATATGATTAGTAATATGACTGATATTGAGATATCAGTCCTACTAATAGGCTTGACCCGTAGGCCAGAGAGGGCTAAACATGGGGCTTCACCAGAATTTTATACATGATGCAATGTATTGATTTCGTGATCAAGTATGCTGGCAAACAATTTCACACGTATTTATAAAGCAAACAACTTGAATTATCCTTCCTATGTTAATGTCTTTAACTAAACGTAATAAGTTTAACCTAATTACGCCCACTTACCTCGCAAGTTTTCCGTCATTGACATTTTCTGCAACATTAATGTTAACTTCAGGTCCACTGAATACTAATGTGTTCTTCGGTTGAAACATTGAATAAATAGTGCGACAAATAGTCCTTCTTAAAACTATCTTCAAAAACCTTGAAGCTTTCCACAGTGTCTTTTGGATTTGGACTCGGTGCTAACAGAGAATGACACTGACTCGCATAACTTCAGTCAAAGAAAAATTACAGCTTACGTAAAACTTTGTATATACATAATGTTAGGCCTACCACTGTCCGTTAACGCATGGGCTAGACCCAACTTGCCTAACCTGTAAAATGAAGAATCTTCGGGAGAATAGTATCGGATATTTTAATAAAACTGTGTATGAAATTACGTGTAGTGGTTGTTGAAAAAGATAAAAAGAAGTATGTTATAGGTCAAAACACTAAGGAGTTAATATATATATATAAATATATAATTGAGTGCCCTTCTTCAAAAACGGCGCACAATAGTGCCATATTTGTAATGAAATGAGAATAGAAACAGAATAAAACAAGTTTCGTTAAAATCGGACCACGGGTTACCGAGTTAGCGCCGTTTTTCGGGTCACTTTTATGAACATTTCTAAACGAGTAATTTTACATCACACTATCCTTCGC